AGGGTGGGTGGGTGGAGCTGGAAGGATCGAGGGGGGGGGGAGGCAAAAAACGGCTTGGTGCACGTGTGAGCTGGAATACCGGGAGCACCTTCTGCCTCACCCTGGCCCAGAAAAGAACCCCTCCAGCAGTTGCCTTGTGTGGCAGGACGGCTTCCAGAGGGAACTGGATAAAACATCTGGAGCAGAGGTCCATCAGTGGCTATGAGCCACAAGGCACAGAGAGGAACAGAGGTCCATCAGTGGCTGTTAGCTGCTAGGTATAGGAAGGAACTCTCAGGCTGGCTGGGGCCAGGGATGCTCTGTCTTCTTGGTGCTTCAGGGGTGGGGGGCAACAGTGGGAGGGGGCTTCTGGAGTCCTGGCCCCGCTGCTGGACCTCCTGAGGGCACCTGATGGTATTTTTGGCCCCTGTGTGACACAGAAGAGTGTTGGGCTGGAGAGGCCATTGGCCTGATCCAACATTTGGCTTCTCTCTTATGTTCTTAAGGCACCAGTTGGCCTGGCCACGGCCCCCCTCTGCTCCCCGGTGGGTGGAGAAATGCCCCTCCCCTCTGCCTGGGGCCTTGGCTTCCTTCTACCGCCCAGCCCAAGCCGAGAAGGGGAAGGCCACTCCCAACAGCCCCGCTCACATCCAAAGGGACCTCTGTGGGCCAGCAGGCCAGGGCCCCACCCCCCTCGGCCAGAGGCAGGCGTCAGGGGTGGCGGCCCTGCCCAGGACCACTCAGCGTGCCGCTGACCCCTGTGGGCCAGGCGGCTGTGGCAAAGCTCCGCGGGAAGGCGGGGGCCACGGGCTCCTGCTCAGCACCTCCTCCTCGAGCACGGCGCTCCCCCCTGCCCCCTGGCCAGGCTAGCAGGCTGGCCAGGAGAACCAACTGTGGCCCACCCGGCATGCGGCCGGGCCGTCCACCCCTCCTGGCTCCGGCATCCACCCCAAGACCCGCAGCAGGAGAGCTTGCGTGGCAGTGAACGTGGCAGGTCAGCCAGGCCAGAGGGAGGGGCTGCTGCTGCTGCTGGGAGAGACCCTCACCCCGAGAGGTGGGCCCCACTGAGACAGTGGACTAGGGACTGTGCGTCTAGTCACGCTAGGGGCACTTGGTTCCTTTTCCCTTCACCCCCTTACTAATAATTGTTCTTGCACCTCGTTTGTTTCCCATACTGGGCTGACCTCCTGTAAAAAGAAACCTCTTATTGGTTGTTCACTCTGCCGGGTCCTCGCGCCTGTTATCTAGCCAGACAAGGGAGGTCCGAAGGTCTCGGGAGGGAGCTCTGGGCCTTCTCAAGGGATCCTGGAACCAGAGTGGTGGCAGCGTCAGGGGACACCCCCACCTGAGCCGTGACACCAGGAAAGGGAGCCCCCTCCGGGGGGCCCCCTCCGCTGGGCCCAAGGGGCCGATGTCTGGCTCCTTGCCTGAGGGTGGCCCCCTCAGTGCAGAGCCCCAGGGCGGGGGGGGGTGAGGCGGGCCTGGCCCTGCCCCCTGCAGACTCCGGGCCTTCCACTCTTGCTCTCGAGGAACTGCCAAGGCGCTTTATGTTCTTTGGAGACTCTCAAGGGATCCACGTGCACGTTGTTTTGTGATCGTTCCCGTAACAGGTTTGTCAGGCAGGATGGGAATATCACACCCACCCACACACAGACGCAGCAGCAGCAGGACACGCCTTCCACCTGGAGGCTTCACTGCAGAAGCCCAACTGGAACGGGGGGCGGGCTGGCTCAAGGCCCCCCTCTGCCTCAGGACCTTCCCCCCCCCCCAACACACACTTGTCAGCTGGCTCTCTCTGAAGGGCCCTCCAGTCGCAGCTGACTCCTGGTGGCCACCCCTGTCGGGTTTTCAAGGCAAGAGGCCCACAGAGGTGGCTTTGCCATCGCCCGCCTCTGCAAGGCAACTCCCTCCCTCCCACCCAAGGACTGACCGGGGCCGGCCCTGCTTGGCTGCCCGAGGAGACCAGTCTGGCCTGGGCCAGGGCTCCGAGGTCGTGCCCGGCGCTTCCACAGGAGTGGCCGACTCCGCCACAACAGAGACTGTGCGACAGGGCGCAAATCTTTTGTGCACTTTATTGCTTTTGTGAGAAAAGGTTAGCAAATGCAGGCACCTTCCCCAGGCCCGCCCTTGTCCTTCGGTAGCCCAGGTGGGGTCCCCCCCCTGCGGGTCTGAGGCAAGGAGTGGGCCTGAACATCTGGGTCCAGAGGCTGCACGTCCCAGGAGCACCCAGAAGGGGCGCCCCATGCGCCTGGGGCGGGCACCCCCACACACACCTTGCCAGGGCCGCCCCAAGGCCCTTCGCCAGAAGGCTCTGCAGGCGGTCAGCAGGCCCGTCCACCTCCGTGGCTCATGAGCAGCCCGTCTCCTCCCAGAGGAATGCTCCTCCGTGGCTGCAAATCCTCCCCGCGGCTGGTTGGACGGCTGGGCAGGATGACGGGGGGGGGGGGGCAGGCCCAGAGACTCAAGAGCAGCTGCTTCTTCGCCTGCGCAGCAAGGCCGCTGGGCTGCCAGCACCATCTTCTTGGTCACTCTCGCAGTCGCGCTGGATTGGGCAGGAAAAGGCAACAATGAAACAGGAGCAGGCAGAGGGAGGGCGTGGCGGGGGAAGAGAAGGGTCTCCCCGGAGGCCCCCCAGACCCGCCCTGGACTGAAGCCGTGATGAGAGGCCCCGGCTCAGGCGGAGAGCACCCGCTTGGCACGCAGAAGGTCCCGGGTTCAAGCCCCAGCAGTGCCTCTAGTTCAAAGGTTTGGGCGGCAGGTGTAGCCAAAGCCTTCCTCCCACCCCCCCCCCCCCCCACGCCAAAGGAC